GTCACTGGCAATTCTGTGCAACACGTATGTTTGACTGAGCACACAGATTACTTTGGTTAACATCCAGAGAAGGTTTCAGCCATTGTATCCTCCCTCCATTTTTCACTCTGATAATTTCCATCTTTTGTCGAGATTATTCCAGAATTGCAAAATTCACTTTCTAAATCCTGTGAGCAGTTGTCCTCTTATGCTTGTACATACTCTCACATATATATTCTAATAATCAAATCAAAAGATTTATATTACGTGAAAGGAAGAAGACTGCTTAGCCTGTCATTTTACACCTGCGTAAGGCACCTTTATATGTGCTGGCAACTCCGTACGGTAGTGAGAGAGAGCTGTTGTCACTACTTTGAGCGTCAGCACCCACAAATGATGCAACATGACATCAGTGGATTGTATGTAGCACAGTCAGGCTTACTGAGCTGTCAGCCTGTGACATGTTTTATCAAAGCATACCAGAAGAAAGAGAAAGATGTAATGCTCGAGAGTCCAGCTCCGTCTGCACTGCGCTCTCTTCCCGTTGTTAAGGAGACAGCAATGTATTGGAAGATTTGTGAACAAAGCTGACAACTGAGGCAAAAAAAGGACAAATCTCGGTGAAAGGACTCAGCTAGAAGTTTTATTGTTTTTTCTTTTAACACGACAATGGGTCGAAGAATTTGTATAACATAGATTGTCCTGACGTTTACAGCCTGGCTTACCTGCATTAGGAATTAAAGTGATGCGGACAAGGCTTTGTTGGTGCCAAGGGAAGGCAAAACCATCAGAGTGACCGTCATCTCCCTCAGGGCTAACTCAACCTATATAGTACAGTCGGATTTTTGTCTAACAGATGGCAACACAGCTGTGTAAGCATGTTCATGTGATGCCCTTGTACAACAAATTTCCACTTACAAAATACACCTTGTTTTTGACAAACTTTTCGTCCTTGTGTGTTTGTGTTCCCTTAATTCAAGCGTGTCCTCATTACTAGGGTGTGGGATGCTGTCTTTATATCAAAGCCACTGGCATCTGAGAGAGAGGCACAATGTCTTCTTTGCGTTGTTGGGCTGATGCACTCCTTACACCAATTGTTAGAATGGTCTAGTTCACAGTGGGTCACAAAAAGATGCTTGGTCATTGTCATAGTTATGGGGTTTTAATTCTGTTACATACGGTCGTATTATACAATTATTGTTCTCCATATCTTATCTTCACAATCTTTTACCATCAACTTGCTTGATCATCTTTATGTTTTGTACTAAGCAGTTAATGGTTTCCACCATTATGTCATTTTCTCCTTTCAAACTAGTGTTCTTTGTGTTTTCCCAGTTTCTACATTTTTGTTGTGTATTTTTGTTCTTTTGTGCATCTTGTTGTTTTTTTTGTCTGTTTTTTGGACCTTACATTTTCATTTTCAGTCACCTGTTAATGATATTTAGCTTGTTGGATTAAAAGTATGGTGTTTGGATTTAGTCTTCTGATTCAAGTGTGTTCTGTTTACATCTTTAAAACCATTGAAGTAAGGCATCACATCAACTTGTTGTGAATGGCTGTATTTCAACCCAAGTATCAATCTTTTTCCCAAACATGACATAGCCTTTAGAAAGAGATAAAATATATTAATCAGCCCAGTTTTGTTTCCTTTGGATAGTTTGTTTTTTATGTTAAGCTAACCAATGCTAATACTGTAGTAATACTGTAATACTGTAGTTAAACTAGTCTCCATACAACTAAGCATATACCTTGCTTTCAGCTAGATTTCTTACTCAGTTTATAATGTATAAAAAGTTTGGGGTCACCTGAATAATACTTCAATCTAGTTCAAACTGACTGAAAGCCATCAGCTGTCCAATCAGTGCATTTTAGCAGTCCATAAGATTTCTTTCTGGTTTGTTTCTGACAGAAAATAATTTCCAATAATACATGTTCTCTTTCAGCAAATGGACAAAACAAGAAAAAAAAACATTAATTACTGTAATCTCGCATTTCTCCACATTACTGTGTGGAACCTTTACCGATAAAATACAAGAACAAGAAGTTTGAAAACTGCATTTGCTCATGGATTTATAAATTCATTTATGAAACTAAATTCAAGGAGCTCAAGCAGAAGCTCCTAATGGTGCAATAATATTCTATATTACGTGCCTCAGGAAAAAATAATCGCTTTTATTGCTCATGAATTCTGTTTAAAAGTAACATATGGGCGGCATTTTTACATAAAGTGGATAAAGAGTCTCATACAAAGACAGCAACCAATACGAAAGATTTGAAAAGGTGAATATTTCCCAGCGCTAAAAGATCTCTGAACTTTTGATGCAATCATAGACATATAGTATATTACAAAAATACTACAATAAAATATATGTCTATAAAATATCTAACAAAGTAGATGAACAATTTGTGTCTATTTGTTCGACTTCTATTGTTGTGTCGTAAGTTGAATTAATTTCACAGAAGCTTATCTGTAAGATCAATAAGGAACATCTGTAGTCACTCATCTGTCTGCTTCTCAGGTGTTGGCACCTAATCTAAGTTTTACATAACTTCCACTTTCCCACACTGTCAAGCTGATTGTGACATCACTGGTTTAGTCCAATCGGCTTTCTGCCGGCCAATTAGCCTTCACTCCGCGTACTTTAAATCTCACTGTGCGTCTGTCTTGCAGTTTCCTTCCTCCAACCAACCCTCTCCCCGATCACCACCTCTAATTATTCAGGCTCTATTCAAGACTCCATCTTTATCTCCACCACCAGCGTTTAGACTCCAGGGGGTCCTGCCCTAATCCCATCGAGGTCTAACCGTCAAATACCTCAAATTGAATTCTGTACATAAATAAACCATGCTCAATTCCTTCTAATGATCTCTTCTTATTGAACTATATGTCAGCGTCATTAATGTACTGTGGAACTGTATAGAACATATCCTTGTTGGTATTTCTGTTATTTTGTCCCTTACAGTAAATTTTAGATGGTGGTGCAGGCTTGGTAAAGGTCATGAGTCAAACATGGTCCACGGTTTATACTGTACGCCTTTGTGAGTGAACCTCTTCTCTTCCTGAAAGGTCACCTCTGAATCTCTTCTGCCTACATTTTTCTGCCCAGTAACCATAATACACGTTGAATATACGTAGATAATACTAGGAATCTTTCTGAGATCTAATACATATGAATTTCTACATTTTTTGATAATATTTACCCACCAAAATTGTACCCTTCAAGTGAAAAACTGCCCATGAAAAACGATACATAAAATATAAAGGCAGATTCTTTGAGGTTATAGGACTTTTCAGCTGCTGTTTCTAGATGGTGTCCATTAAAATGAGTACATGAGACAACCTGTCTGTCATCACTGACAGCTCTCACCATGAGGCCTTTTGGGGATCAGCTTCAGAGCGCTGAGAGGATCAGAACAGTAGGCATCCAGCCTGCAGTACTTGGCTAAAAGAAAAACCTTTTGCACAGAGTTTCACAGTTTTAAAGAGTGCTGATTTTAAATTGTTACATTAGGATTCAGACAGTGAAACCTCAGAAAAGTCTGTAGCATAAATATTAGCACCACATTGTAGCTTTTTTCTACGACACTAAAAATTAATAAAAGGACTTTAGCTGTGTGAACTGAAAAATGAGAAATCTCTCTTTCTCTCTCTCTTTCTCATATATCTATAACATGTTGCTTTTTTATTTCTAAGAATTTTGTGTTGTATTTCTTCTTGGTATTAAAAGGTTTATAGTACCATTTGGCCTCATCAAAACTGTGGATCATAATTTTGGTAGTTCCGCTGTTTTTTTGGCTTTGTTTTTTTAATCAACTTCTTTGGTGAAAGTGATCATTGCAAAAAAAAACCACTTTGCATGAGCTTTCTAAGCATTTCACTGTGACACACAACCCAAATGAGGAAGCATTTGTGATATGATTACAGATTGATTTTGTAAATTAGAAAAAATAGTCATATATTTCTTCTTCTAAGTTATTGAAAAGCACAGCCTACACATGAAGAGATGTTGCAAGGTAGTCACACATAAGTCACAATGCTGCAACTAGCACCTCACACATACATAATAATGAATATCTGAATTGACGTAGTTAATGTAAAACAAATTACAACCATGCTTCCATGGTTCTAGAGAGAACCATGCAGACTACAAGGCAGAGTTTCCCATTAATCAAAATTGCTCATGTAAAAAAAAAGGATGATTGAAATTGATTTTTAGGTTTAGAGTGTATTAGGAATTAATGATACAAATATCTGGGGGAATTAAAAGCTAGCTGTATGAAGTCAAGTGTGGCCATCCATTTGGAGCAGTCAGCCAGGTGTGAGGACTGTTAATGTACAGAGGCAGGCTGACTTTTTCCATGTCTAACACATGTGGTTTGTGTAATATTCTTTCCAAATTTCTGACTACAATGGTGCAGACACAATGAAAAAAGGAAACAAATGAGAAAAACTGTGTAAAATCATATATAGCGCACAGCATAAAAAAAGTAGTAAATGAGTAGTTCATGTAACTTTAGCATTTTGTCTTAACAAAATTGTGTAACATCCCAAGAAAGAACACAACATGCATTGTTTGTTGTGGAAACTAGTTCAGGTACCCTACACTTGAACTAGTTTCCACTGCATGTATGTCGGTATCTGTAATGACAGCTTATAAGCATGTGCGTCATTAAAAATAGCTTCTTAGCACAGTTTAATCCTGAGCTTCATTCAGACAATCCTCGTGTGATTTCTCACACCTTCTTTGCATTGCAAAGTACATGCATATGAAAGTTTATAATAGAGAATATTAATGTAAAACAGTCTCAAGCATAAATATCAGACCTGCTCATTAAACAAGCGCTTTTGGACCATATGGTCCAAAGACTATACTGGCATTCTGTCAGAACTGGATTTCTGGCTCCCAACCCTGTACACAATCCATGATCACACACGCTCATTAAGTTACATGCAACTGAAAATGTATAACGTTAGTTTTGATCATAAAGCTTATCTTTTGTTTTGTTTTTCTTTTTTTCAGGTCCTCGTTGCATAAGCTAACATGGACAAAGTGGTCATCAGTCTCCTGTTCCTGGGAACCGCAGTTACGATGGTCCATGCATGTCCCAAATACTGTGTCTGCCAGAACTTGTCAGAGTCCTTGGGGACTTTATGCCCCTCCAAAGGTCTGCTCTTTGTTCCACCAGACATTGACCGGCGAACTGTGGAGCTCCGGCTGGGTGGCAACTTCATCCTAAAGATCTCCACCCTGGACTTTGCCAATATGACAGGTCTGGTGGATCTCACTTTGTCCCGGAACACCATCAGCGACATCCAGCCTTTCTCATTTATTGACCTGGAGACATTAAGATCGTTACACCTGGATAGTAACCGGTTGACTGAACTGGGACCAGATGACCTCCGAGGACTGGTTAACCTGCAACACCTGATCCTCAACAACAATCAACTGAGCCGTATCTCTAAAGTAGCCTTTGATGACTTGTTACTGACACTGGAGGATCTTGATCTGTCATATAACAACTTGCGCACTGTGCCTTGGGAGGCCATCCGAAAGATGGTTAACCTCCATCAAATGAGTCTGGACCATAACCTCATCTCCTTCATTGCTGAGGGGACCTTTACAGATCTCGACAAACTGGCACGCTTGGACCTCACCTCTAATCGTCTTCAGAAGCTCCCTCCAGATCCTATCTTTGCACGCTCCCAGAGCAATGTGGTGATGAGCACACCATATGCACCCCTGCTCTCACTAAGTTTTGGTGGAAACCCTTTGCACTGCAATTGTGAAGTGCTTTGGCTTCGGAGACTGGAACGGGAGGACGATATGGAAACCTGTGCTTCTCCTGCCAGTCTAAAGGGACGCTACTTTTGGTCTGTTCGTGAGGAGGAATTTGTGTGTGAGCCCCCTCTGATCACACAACATACACACAAATTGCTCGTGCTCGAGGGACAGACAGCTAGCTTGCGCTGCAAAGCTGTTGGTGATCCAATGCCAACAGTGCATTGGGTTGCTCCTGATGACCGTTTGATTAGCAACTCCTCCAGAGCAACTGTATATGAAAATGGGACTCTGGATATAACAGTCACCACATCTAAGGACTACGGTACATTCACCTGCATTGCTGCTAATGCTGCAGGAGAATCTACAGCGTCCATTGAACTATCAATCATTCAACTCCCCCATCTGAGTAATGGTACAAACCGTACCACCCAGAACAAGTCAGGCCTGTCAGACATAACAAGCTCTACTAAGATCAGTAAAGGGGAGCCTAAAACTCTTCCAGAGAAGGTGGTGTCTGTATCAGAAGTGACTGCTGTTTCTGCTCTGGTCAAGTGGAGTGTTAGCAAAGCAACTCCAAAGGTCAAAATGTATCAGCTTCAGTACAATTGTTCTGAAGATGAAGTCCTCATTTACAGGTAAGAGTGATTACTGAAACTTGATTACATCTAAGTATGGGCTAATAACTCTCTCTTCAAAGTGGCACACTGAGTCTTGAGTGTAATCTTTAGCTTTAGAATACATACAGTTGGGTTTCTTCTCTCAGCTGTTAATTGTTTGGTGGGTGAGTACTTAAGACAGTCAGTTCCTTTGAAGTGTTACTTGAAGATCAACATTCATTTTTCTTAATCCTTCTTGAGATTTTTTTCTTTAAATTGAGAATTGACGGGTTGCTGTGTTCACATTTTTAAGTAAAAAGTGCAATCCAAAGTGAAATCCTTGCCCTGAACCATTAATTAGAAATCCAAGAAGAAAAAGGATTATAGACCCTCATGTCAATGTATCCTTCTTAAGCTGCTCAAGTCCATAAAGTGTGAGCTTGGAGACTGTTACTGAAGATCTTTGGGCTCTGTGAAATCAATTTCCTATGTCAAATGAGAAAGTGAAAGTGGCAACATTCAGCAAAGATAACTGTTTGGAAATACAAAAATACAGCCAGCTGTTTAATATTAAATTGATGCATTTAGGTACATTAACCTCCTAAGACCCCAACTCTTTCATGGCACACATTTTTAATTTGTCTTTGCTATTTGGGCTATTTTTTATTATTTTTTGCCACATAATGTGTTTTATTTCCTCAAACTAATGTTAACTTATCTAAAGAAACTCACTGAAGGATCCTTGAATGACTAGTATGCTGAAGTTTATACATTATCACATTATGGTCTGTTTTAGGCAGGAAATTGAGCATTTTCATATCATGCTTACTAGTACTGATAACTGAGGCTTACTTTCTCTATCAAACACCATATCTGATCACCAATACCTGATCTAATGAAATAATAAGAAAATCCAAACGGCTGGGTATTAGCTAGGATTCTAAGAATAGAACTGTGCACAGCAATTGTGAAAGATATCACTCTGCCCAAATGCTTTTAATGCAACTTGCCATCACTGTAAATTCAATAATAAGCTGTTTATCTGATATCCTTGCTTTCATACTTAGTGCCAGCTTTTCATGCCAGAAAAAGGGAACAACATGAATTTTGAGATTTTTTTTTTCATCCCAGTGACAGAAACAGTGGATGACTCATCTGTGTTTTAGTAAACGGCCTTATGAATTTTCTCTAATTTGTACAAAACTGCAACTGTAAAGCTAATGTAAGCTTTGTAAAATGTATTTTCCTTTTTCATTCAGTGATTCGCAGCAGCAAAATTCTTTCCCTGAAAAGAGATTATTTAAATTGCATTCTTGATGTTGTCAGTCAAGACTGGCCCCATATAACAAAACATGTACATTTATTTGTTTGAATGCTAGTTTGAGATATTAAAACCATGCAAGTTCTTAAATGCAGATTTAAGGATGAATTTCTTAGTTTAACTTCACTTTAGTGCACAGTTGGTAGCCATTAATTTAAGTGTTGAGCACTGACTTTGCTTACCATGTGATTTGATGCTTTATTCTTTAATGTAATCCTCAGTATGTACTTTATATACAGAAGAAAAAATGGCCTAAAGCAATTCATTTATCTGCACACCAGAATACACATTATAAACTGGAAGGAAAAGATAATGTGAAAAGACAGGACAACTACTGTTTCTGAATTAATACTGATATCCTTTCATAGCATGCATATGTGCACCCCTAGCTGGCCGATGTAGTTTCCCACTGCCTGCACTGAAACAATGGCATGATTAAAAATCAATCACAGCCATGTGGAGCAGAGGAGGGATTGCATGAGTCCACTGGAACATGTGAGGAAGCACAGCTTCTTCCTGGTTATGGGAGAAAGAGGCAATTAAGGATGAATAATGAACTGTAGCCCCGCTGGTGTCTGGGCTCTTTGGTGGAGGCACTTCAGAGGGATCAAAGCTTTCAACACATATGCTATAGGAAAACAGCAAGCAACAATGGATGAATGACTGAGGAATCTATTTATACATGCCCTTATGGGTATGTTGGAGTCTAAACCTTTTTTACCCCAGTGTTTTCCAGTTTCACATCAATTAATTATTTGTTGTATTGTACAAGTAATTACAAAATTGTGTTGGAATATGATACATTTTCAAATCAAAAGTTGAAATACATTATGTTTTATACACCCCTCAAAAATGGCTTGGATTCGAAAGTTTGTTGAGGCTTCTCTAACCATGATGTTAAAGCAAGATTGAAGACCAATTATATTCATCTATTGTCTTTTTTGGCAGAAGATCAATGCCCAACTTCCATTCTATTTAATTCTGTTTAATTCAGTTCAGTTTCCAAATCACAGCAAGTCACTTCAAGGTGCAACCTGTTCCTTACGGTAGCTGAAAGTGGTCATCAAATTATACGTAAAGTATCCTAAACACAGAAAAAGTATTTTCTAAACTGTGCATGTCCACTAATTGGCATTACCAGAGATTTATTAATTTAGCATCAAAACAGCATTTTAAATCCAACTACTTTGAAGTTTTGGATTCGATGGCAGCATGTGCGACCTGTCAAGCACAGCAAATTACCCTACAAAGAAGCAAGACAATTGTAACACTTAAAAAACTTTACTGCATTCAGTTGGAAAGTCATGCGCAGGGTTTTAAATTACATATTTTGACACGTGGAGAAAGAGGATTTACTAATTAAATGTCTCTGAGATCAAATATCCAGATGAATGAGTGGATAAAAGCAGTTGCTGTCTGTGCAACAAAATACAGGTTTTGAAAACACCCTTTTCATTGGCAAAGCTCTTGGGCAATTAACTTACTGCAGATTTGAGTTTCAGTTTAACTCAAAAAGCACTGAAGCTTAATTAAGCAGTCATATTAAAACATCAGAAATAATAACAAATTGACTTGAAACAACTTAATGCGTGTTTAATGGATTGTACAAGATATTACATTTAGCCAAAACAATATTTAAAAATTGGCCATTCACTATTTATCTCATTACTATTTGCTTGCATGGATATCAAATGGTATATACCGGGAGCAATGAAGTCATCTTTTTGAATTACTTTGTGCATATAAATAACTACTTAGCATGGTTAATTGTGTACTATTTCCTTGATATGTCAAAGCATAAGATATTAATTCAAACTACTTTCCACATTTTGGTACTATGGCCTTGTTTTGAATCCCTGTGGCAAGAAGTCTGTATTTTTAATGTCGTCTCTCTGTTTCTGTTTTCAGAATGATTCCCATGACTAACAGGGCCTTTGTACTCACTAATCTGGTCCCAGGGATGCAGTATGACCTGTGTGTCTTGGCCATTTGGGATGATACTGCTACGACTCTCACTGCCACCAATATTGTAGGCTGTGTCCAATTTGTCACCACTGAGGATTACCCACAGTGTCAATCTATTCACAGTGGCTTCATGGGTGGCACTATGATCCTGGTCATCGGTGGCATCATCGTGGCCACACTGCTGGTTTTCATCATTATCCTCATGGTTCGCTATAAGGTGACGAGTGGGATCCAGACTAATAAACTGCCCACTGTGAGTAACACATACTCTCAGACGAACGGAGGAATGAACAGGTTCAACGGTGCCCCACCACAGGTCAAATCTACAGTGATGGTCATGCGTGAGGAAATGGTAGAGTTCAAGTGTGGATCTCTCCAGAGCAGTCTCTCTTCGTCCTCCTCCTCTTCTAACTCATTAGACAGCCAAACAGCAAGAGGGGCTGGTGACCGCTACAGCATGCAAAGCAGTGAGTGCACCACCCTGCCCAGCAACAAGTTCAGGAGGCACGGCCCCAAAGCACGCCCAAACTTGGACCACCTTTTAGGGGCCTTCACCTCACTGGAGCTGCGAGGGGCAGGGAGAGATGGCGCAGGGACTTCTGGACCCTCCACCAGTTCCAATGCTATGGCAGTGGCTGTGGTACCACCGTCTGATAAAGAACCATTGCTTGGAAGGGCAGAGTCCACAACCATGCTGGGACGCATCCTAGGGCTCCCCCAGGAGGGTAAGCCAAAGAGGAGCCATTCGTTTGACATGGGTCACGTAGGGGCCACACAGAGTCGCAGCAGCTACCCACGCAGGATCAGTAATATCTGGACTAAACGCAGTCTGTCTGTTAATGGCATGCTGCTGCAGTATGATGACAGTGAGGATGAGAAGCCCAGTTTTGAGAGCTCCGAGTGGGTAATGGAGAGCACGGTTTGAAGACCATAGAGACCACATGTGAGATTCATGACCAAACAATAAATCTATATGAGAATAAAAGAAACATGAGTGAAAAGTGAAGGATATCCCAAAGGGAAACTATCTTCTGCATGAAGCTAACCCAAGTGACAATATAAGACACTCAAATCAATAGATTCCTGGTCATGATCTCATCTCTGACAGTGTCAAACTGTATTTGAAAAATGTCCCCATTTTAAAACAACTGCAGAAATGGCCCACAAGGAATATTTCCCAAACCACAGGGTACATGAGATTATCCCTGAGGGGAGAAAAGGGAAAGAAAGACAAGAAATTCTAAGTGGATTTACTATGTCTTTATTAAAACAACTGAATACCAAGAGGATTTGCCTCGATTGTGGTGAAGTGGATCACAATGTCATGGACCCTCAGCATGAAATGGGACTACTGCAACAGTAGAAAGACCAGAGGAGCTAGTAGAAAATTAAAACAAAGTCATTTTTATTTTCAGTCATTTTTTCTATCATTTTTACTATTTATTATTTGAGGCAATTCATCAGCAGAAGCACATCTCGGTACTGAGGTTGTAGCTGTTGGTCACATACAAATAGACCCTCTCACACATACACATATGTAGAGGCTACCATCTCTCATACAGCCATTGCAAACACTTTCAAATTGATAACATGATTAATTTTCAGTAACAATATGGTCCTATTTTCTAGATACCATAACAATGAACCACAGCAAGCCAGTCTTGTATTTGTACCTCAGGTTATGTATCGTACGTTGTTATTTTAAAGCAAGTAGGACTACAGCTAAGATTGAACACAAACAGCTCCACACACAAAGTTCTTTGCTTGATTGTAAAGCTGTCAAAAAACTATTTGTTGCCATCCAGTCAAAATCCAGTGTGTTTCCAGCTCAGGTTAAATCCTGCTCTAACAAAATGTCAGTTTGAGTGCTTTGATACTCTCCCCATAGGTTAGCCCTGGTGACAATGGTCCCTGCAGGCAAAAGGCCCATTGATGTAAACAGAGTGTTCGCCTCAGGGTACGGTTTCAGATGTTATCAAGATATATTATAGTCACTGGACGTGGATGGTGTTTGAAATCCATCAAGCCCACTTAATCATTTGCCCAAAGCTGCCAAAAGCAGGATCTATCGTCAGGCTGTTATTCTCATGAGGTAACACAAACAAGAGAGTATGGCAATTACTCATTTAGCCAGGTTAAATGGAGGAATTTGTCATTTGATAAAGGTCATCGTGCTGCTTAGACGAAAGGAAAAAAGGGGAACGATAACTCATTAAGGGCCAAACATTTCACCAAGTTACATGATACAGAACCTTTGTTGGTTTATGTATTATTTCAATTGATCCATCAGAGAGCCCATTTATCTTTCATTCTCTTTCATACAGGGCTGTACATTGCAGTAAAATACTTTGAATTAGACTCTACTCAGATTACTGCTGATCAAAACTGCAACATCTCTGCATTTTAATGCCTTTCTCGATATTCTGTGGATCTCTGCTGCATTTTAACATGTGGGATGGTCATCGGTTTTCGTTTCTTCCCTACAGTAGGTGTACCGTTCTGTATATTGGCATTCTTTTTGTACAATAACTGGGTGAGAATGTAAATGGGGATGGGGGAAGGGGGCAATCGTGCAGTAGTACTTTTATTTTTATGTGAAGCAAACAGTGAGAAGGTGCTTTACTGTGACGTACCAACTTGATCATTGTTAGTTGGCTTACTGAAATGGGATTTTATATGATACTGCAAGGGGGAAGTGGAGGACTGGCTTTTGTTAAAGGGTCAAGCCACTCAAATGACTAAAATACTTATTTTCCAACTTATCTCAAGTGATATTCCTGCATGTACACTGTAGACAATCTTGGTTTTATTTGCTCATGGTTTCAGAGAGCTTTGCCTCTAGTGCAATACAACGGTGTTGGAAAATGCAGACCAATATATATATAGTTTAACAATGTATCTCTTCTATAGATCTGTTACATCTGTTACAAAAATGATCAGGACCCTGTTTACCTAAAGCTTTAATCATTGTTTAACCCAATATCACCACAAAACGTGCAATAGACACGCCAGTCCACCGTGTCCGTTTCACTCTTTGCCTCTACGAAGCGTGAAAAGGACACGCATGTCGAAGTTCCAGTAAGCTGCAGTAAAAGAAGAGGGAGATATTTTATGTCAAGCCAACTTGAAAATAATCACAGTAAAGTGTTTAAATAGATATTATTAACACATTTACATGTAAATACATATTAGCCCCCTAGCTTAACCATTTGTGGCGATTAAGGACCTTGGAATGTCCTGCATATTTATTTTTTTGGTCACTACTGACTTCTTGGCTCTAAATATATTATCTCTCACTGCTGGTAATGCGGTAATGTAACTTCTGTATGTGTGTCCATTTCATGTTTTGGAGAGGCAAAGCGTGAAACGGACGCAGTGGACCAGAGTGTATATTACATGTTTTGCTGCAATACTGAGTTGCACTGTATCCGTGCCATACAGTATATCCATTCTAGCCAGTGAGCCACACTGCTGACATTAAGTGTGTTTAACTGTATATGACATACAGTATATCCAAATGAGCTTTAAAATCATGAGCTTATAAATTCAGCAATTTAAAAAGCACAAACATTCTCTAATAATGTGTCTAAAATAAATGATAAATTCAGAGTAATACCTACAAAGTGGCCAACGACATAAATCATTTGTTCAAGCTGATTGCAACAGGGTTATGGGACGAAGCGTGCACTGCTCCAATGGATGAATGAGACTTTTTTCTTATAATTCTTATTATTCAGTTGCAGGGATAGCACTTTGTTCCAGAAAGCCACATGTGCATTTAGGACTGAGACAGTTGAGGCATGGAGTTACTTTTGTGTCATTTAAAATATTACATTTGCATTATAAAACAAAAAAAAACAACCTTGTTTTTAAATCCAAAGGTTTTACTGTTGAGCTCACTCTCGTGGGCAGTCTCTGTTGGTCAGCATGGCAGCTTCCACAGTTTGCAAATAAGAGAGTGAGAGCATAAATGACATAAAATCAATGTGTAGGTGTGTTTGCACATAACATTCATCTTGGTAATGGCAATAATGTTATGTTTAAACTACGATTGGTATTATTTTACTTCACTTTTTTTTGCCTGTAGCCAGATATGGATTTTCATAATCAGTTTCCACATCACAGTTTGTTGAACAAAAGCAATCTACATGGAGTACTTTATAAAATGAAACATTCTTTGTGTTATTGTGGCAAAGGCTAGATATAAACATACCTGTGCAGTGACTTTTCTGCCTTCTTTGCTCTTTCTATGCTTTCACCACACAATTATTTGCTGTGACTCTAATCAGTAGAGACATGTCATATTTCACCTTAACACCCACGTTCGACTTAACCAGCAGCAGTTTTGGATTTACACTCAAAAGTTTGATTGATATTAAATCAATGAAAAGAAAACTAAGGAAATAAGGAAAAACATCTATACAGTTTTTCTTTCTTTCTTTTTTTTTTTTTGCAAAATTATCTTGTTTGTTTACATAAAAGTGACAGAAAAGTACCCATATTAGTCCTTACTTCTTTAAGAACCATATATTGTTTTATAATAACATTTCTACTGTTTTGACAATCGTTCCCATTTTCCAGTTCAGTTCCAAAATGATCTGATTCATGAATTGAACAAAAACTAATTCCTCAGCAGCAGCAGCAAAACCGTTCTCATCAAAACCCTCCAATATCAGTGTAAATGTTCTTCTGTACCAGAGCTGTAGCCCAGGTGCAGCAATAAGCTACACAGACATGCTTCTGTATCACTGTCTGATTTTTTTTGTTCCCAGCATATTGTTTTCCACGAAAACCTGTATGAAAGACTTTGAATCACTGCCAACTATGTAACTTTTTGCAGGAATTTGCTAGCCTGAGGAATACCTACACAATGCTGAACAGAAAAAATCGAAATGACTGAGCCCGTAATAAAGTGTTAATCTGTACCTTTGAGATTTTGAGTCATCAACGAATGTCGTTTACCCTTAATTTAATGTTTGCCAAAACATTACAACTTTTTAAACAATTGTTAGCTTACATTTTTGAAGATTTTTGTCTTTGCTGCAAATGAATGAGTGCTACAGACCGTGTGATTCATAACATTTATTATTTATTCTTAACAGTATAAGTCAGATTACCCAATATCATCAGCACGTTACTTTAGTATCTCAGGTATTTTGTTTGCAGACACTTGTCTGCCTAATTTGCCAATAACAGTAGGTTTTAATGACAACGATGCAACAAAGTCACAAAAAAAAAACAAGTTAGGTACATTTTTATCTATATTGTCCACTTTCATGCAACAAATCATCCTCCCTCTTTTGGTTTCATTTCTATTAATTTCTCATTATATCCTGATAGTTTCACTCATTATTATAAGCGGAGAGCATTTTACCTTACATATTAAAACAAGTTGTTTTGCTAAAGATTTTGAAATTGAATTCATTGTGACTATAAGCAGAAGAAACCTAAATCTATTCCCATCTCTTTTATTTCATCTGAAGTTTCAAGGATGCTTATTTTGGAATTTGAGCAAATAAAACCAGAAAACATTTGCTTTTGTGACACTGGGGGTACACGTTGAAATATGTATTTTAGTGAATGTGTGAAGTGACCCTTTAACCTGCCGTCTCTGCTTGTGACATCATATAACATCCCCCTCCACTCTGCTAACTAAGATATAAATTTAAGTGTGTATTTGACTCAACATAGTCATGATTCTCACCTGAGGTTCCAGGACAAAAACAAGAAAAAAAAACTGTTTATGTGTGAAAACATTTTGCTACAAAAGAATATAAAATATTGTCTAATTCCTATGAACCAAAATGGCTCTTCTGTCTTTCTTCTTCCTGCGACATCAAGTTACTTTACAGATTCCATTATTGATGACATTTTTCAAATGTGATCCTTATGAATGGAAAGTGTTGCCTAACCGCGTCTGCCTACAAAGTACAAAGAAGCTAATGGAGTGTTCTTCCCCTCATGCGGTGTTTGTTTACCGCAGATGAGCCACGGGTTTTCCTCCTGAGGTCCAGCTGCTGTAATCAGGCCAGTTGCTGCTGACTCACCTCAGCACTGCCCTTATTACAAATCACCGGTACATGCAGCTCCTGGCCAGAGCCCATAATAAGGCCTTAATTCATATAATCTGTCAGGAAAGGTGCTTACGGCAGCACAGAGTAAATATAATCTCCACAAGGGCCAAGCGCTGCTTGATAAGACAGCGATGTGCACCTCCTGAAGGCTCAAGAGGAAGATGACCGCTGCGTGCTGAACGTCGGGACGTTTGTTTGGAACGGGGCTTTGTGTTTTCACGATACAACGGATATTCAGATATACACTTTTATAGGATCTGAGCTGAAAGGTTATCAGATAGACAGCAGCATTTTTTTAAGAGAGTAAATTAAGGACACTGCATTTTTTCTCACATCACAGGTTTATGTGTGAGATCTGCAAGAGCTATCAGGTTGCTATTCAGTAAAACAAGTTGAAGAAAAAAGCACCTTTAACAAACCTGACAGTAGTCTTTTTGTGTGGTTTTTTTCTTACACTGTTGTTTCTTTTTGTGACAGCTACATTGAAAACAAATCAGAGCGTCAATGTGTTTACAAAGTCTGCTGCCACTTAGCATTTATTCACTGAAACTGAACATGAGCCCAGTCTGCAGGTCATCATATTTGCATAAAGCCTTGGTAAATAAACCTGATGTTTTGATGTATCTGGAAAAAAAAGAAATGTTTTTTCCCTCACTATTGCTGAAGTTGGAATGTTGATGGAAAAAAAAATGTAACCGTACAGCCCACAAGAAGAAAGCTACATGAGGAAATACAGCCTGTTTCTACGTCCACCTTTCTAAATATAGCGCAGGTATGATTTGCCACACAGGAAAACATGGATTCTTGCAATCGAGAAGCTATAGAGAAACAGCATAAATAATGGCAAAGCATGGTACTTCAAATAATATAAAATATTTTAAGATATTAATACCACAACAAAAATAATTCTTAAAAAAAAAGTGAATGCAGAGGAAAGCAGAATTGTCTTACTTGCTTACTTATTGAACCACTGAGTAATACAAAAAAAGTCCTTTAGTGATGAAGGGTTACACAGTCTGGTGATTTCTTAACCGGAGGTGTAATGGTTGGATGACTCATGAAAAAAAATCAGCTTCCGTCTCTCTCACTCGTCAGGCTTACTCTCCGTCCCTTTGTGTGCATACAATAGCTGTAACTGTATCTGTAATCTCTAGACTTTTCAGACGTGATATTTGCTGCTCAGCCACTCTATTGGGGAAAACAGTCAGGTTCAGTAAATGTTTGTATGATTTTCTGATCTCTAATTCTATATTATACAGGATTATCTTTGCAAGATGCACAAAACTGAACAACTGTGCAATTTGCACCTTTGCTTTTCTTCTATTTCTGAAACAGAGACCTTAATGTGCAGCACGTGAAAAGGACTGTTCATCCTTAGGCCACATGTCTTTAAGCATTTTCACTTCGAATCTATTCAGCTGAAACAAATTCTAGTGTATTTAATTTGAAATGGTGAGAGTGTCCGTCAAATCAAATGTGGCCCGAAGAGCCTCTTTCCAGTGTAGTCAGTGGACTCTGGTGAGTTTTCTTTCCAGAGGAAAATAACCAAACACGTTTGATTTGATTTTTGTGAAAACAGTTCCGGGATTTTAGAGTAAATTGCTAGTAACAAATATATCTGCTGTCTACGAACTGTTCGGGGAATATTTCTGTTTAGCATGTATTTATGTAAATCACTGGATAACCATGGCCAGCACATTAGGACAGAGAACTATTATGTTTTGCTTACATCCTTTGTGGTTTAAGTTGATTCAAAAGAGTAGCATCCCAGAATGTTTGTACAGATGCCTCTTCGTTCTCTCATGAAGTGTTTGTTAGAATTAAGTGATTTATCTGCAGGTGCAGAGTGATAAACATAACAATCACGTCCATAATTACTCATTTCTTTGTGAGCTCTTAGTGCCGCAGTAGAACATAAATGTACACAAGAAGTTTTAGAATGCCCACTCCAGAATGCAAAACATGCAGCAGCTCTCCGAGTTACTTATTGATCTGTATAATAAGTGCTTTAATTTTGGCTGGTTTCTAGGAAGTCAGCTTGAACAAAAATCATATCAGAACTGATCGATGCATTATTTATTCCCACCATGTTAGAATGTTATCATATGCTATTTATCAAAGATAAAGGTGAGTTTTGCAGGCATTGGTCAAAATCCAGAGTTTCCTACTTGATGATATATTTTTTAATCTGCACACCATGGGCTGACACGGCCATCTTTGAAGAGATATGACTCAAGAATCAGATCCAGTTTCTGATGAAATTAAATGGTCCAATCAGTGGCTTCACAAAGAAAGGTAACTTCTATGAAACTTCCTCAAAAGCACCCCTGCTTCAGGACTGATTATTTATTAACAAGTGTAAAATGTTATTCTATTTCAAATAATAGCAGACAGTTACTGCAGGTACCTCTTAGTAATTTAAAGGGATAGTTTTACAAATTATCACTTTAACCCTACCTACCATAGAACCAAGTCCGCCAGAGCTTATCTTTATATTTTTACATGCTGTAGTGCCATTATTGGGAGCATTTCAAATTGCTATACATCAATACAACTGTTATATCCCAAATTTTAATAATATGTATGCATTAAGTCCATAGTAACTACATAAATTGCAAAAAAGTGGAAAAAAACTACAAAAAAATTGAAAATCATTTTTGTTTCTTTTTTACATATATTTCTAGCTAGAGAAATGTAAGATGTTTATCCCTCAAAACTGTAAATACAAATAAGTAGCACAAAATAGTTTCCCACCACAGGAAAATTATTTTGAGTGTCTTCATAGTTTTATTTTTGAGATACACCAATTTTTATATACTGCAGGAAAAACCAAAAATAAATATCATAATGTAAATTTGTAAAAAAAAAAAAAAAAAGTGCATCAAAATAAACTATTTCCAGCAGTGCAATTTGAGTTCTAAGCATCCCAGAAACTATACAGAAAAGCATAAAGTCAAACACGACTTTTAAAAACACCAGAATAGGCTTACAAGGCCCCAAAGATAAAAAACTACATTTTCCTTGAAAATGATGTCACTTCCGGTTTTGGGCAGGAAATGGCAGACATGCGATAGTTTGTGCTAACAGCTATTCCAATGTAGGAAGTGTTATGAACAGCTGATCAGGACAAGCTGATGGCATAAAATGTAAGTACAACTCCTCCGGTTTCATATGCAAAAAGAATTATTGCGCTAGCTTATGTGGTTGCAGTTCTACAAGGATTAGAATTTAAAAGGAAGAATTTAAAGGATTTAAATAGTTAGCAAAACAGGGTCCAGAACAGCAAAACAAACAAACAAAAAATGTACTATTCATCACGTGCAAGCTGGTCAGCTTTAATGTTTTCCAGGTCAGGAAAGTGCACCAAGCAGGACTGCTCAGTAAAACAGTCAATGTCTCAAATAACATGAATAAAGCGTAATTAGCAGAGTCAAAATTGCAGACACAAACAGTGGGAGCTCAATTCAAGGTTTATTTATTAGGATGACGTGTGCAAGGGGACGGATGAATCCCAGACAGAGGTTTTCCTGAGAGATTTATTTCAGAGTGAATTCTCAGTCCGACTGGCTGGCACATGACAATGTGAGACGGGGAGAGAAGCTCAGGCACACACTAGGAAAGAAAAAAAGACTGAATCTGATACCAGTGTTGAGCTGTAGAATCTGGCAAAGGCTGGATGACTGAGCCAGTCCTTAAATATTCACGAGGGATGTGATCTGGTGCAGGTGTACCAGTTACGGATCAAACAGGAACTGCTGAGAGTATGTGCATCCAGGAAAACCTCTGACAAAGTAAGGCCTGCCCACTCACACACGTTCAAACCAAAGATTCACAATGAGGGACAGGTCCATGTACTTCAAGAAACTGAGGAACAGGCAACAGCTCTAAAGAAACAATAAAAAGCAATAGTTAATACATTTATAGAGTTTATCCAAGATGATGGAAAGAATTGAGCAAAGTCTCAGATACAGTATGTGGGGGTGTAACTGGAGGCAAATGCATCACAGTGGGCTTAATCATGGCATTAAAAAAGGGCAGAGCCTGTCACGGAAGATTTAAAGTAGGGAAGTAGTAGCACAAAAATATGTTAACTAAACAAAATGGGATACTAATAACAATAAAAATAATAATTCAAATGTGGCATTCAGAGCTGTGCATGCAGAAAAGGATTTATTTACAGCAGCAGGTGAGATATGTACACATATACAGCAAATGTGGGGAGTGGCCTCCAGGGATTCCAAGGGAAGGTCCAAGGCTGGGGGGGAAACACACTCACACTCCTCTTCACTTAGCCCATGATACAAAACACACTCAGTCCAAAATCCATGCCGTGTCTCATTCACACTCTTGCTCCTTCAGGTAGGGTTCAGGGAAGACCAGGCGGGGGTCCAAGAAGGTGGAAGTAAGTACAACAATCCACCGAGGACCAACACTCCACCAAGGCCTTAAGTACTGCCTGAAGCAATTAGCAGAGATAAGCAGCAGGTGAGTAGTGCGTGAGCGTGGAGTCCAAGATGGCCCAAATACCCAGACAGCGCCCTGGAGGAAAAGGTGAGTACAGCAAACCATGACAGTCTGACCCAATGAGCATGCCCAATATAGTTTTTCTTTCTGTCTTTCTGACTCTCACAGAGTCCCATGTAATACGTGCAATAGACACGCCGGTACATTGTGTCCATTTCATGCTTTGCCTCTCCAAAACATGAAATGGACAAGCATGCAGAAGCTGCA